TGAACTTTTTAAAAGATTACTAAAAGAAGTGCCCATCACTCCAACCCCTCTCTACATTTCCGTAATTATTTTTTTCTACAACAACTTCACCACCAACCCCTTCCTTTCTCTCCAAATTTCTTTGGCTGTTTGGCTTCTGTATTCTTTTTACATAATGAAAGACATAGGGTATGAAGATGGAAAAAGGGTAATTGCGTATTAATCCTTACAAATATTGTACAACTAGTTTTTCGTGACATGGTTAAATCTGGACATTCAATGAGGCAATACATTAGATTAAAATTGCATTTGCAAAACATAATGAAGTGGGTTTTTGTTAATGAACTGTTCCATTCAGGACATGATAAGAAGAAAAAAATTCAAAATGTGATTGTACTAATGAGGGGATTAATTGCAGTGAATCTCTTGGTGTGTCTCTATGTTTCTTATCCTACTCGACAAAAATGAGTCGCATTAATTGACAATGTTAAAGTACAAGTCTCACTTTTTTCTTTCTGAACATTTCCTTCTTCACTCTCCATCTAAACAGCATATTTGGACTCATGAACCCAAATATTTTACAACAAAAACGTAACTGTTCAAAAAACGTTAGACGTAGAAAAAAGTGAACATTAATTGATACACAATCTGTATGTTGAATTGAGAAAAAGAAAAACCCAACAGAATACAAGTAAACAACAGGTAGAAAGAAAGATTTCAGAAAGGAAAAAAAGTGAAATAAAAAAAAAAAATTAAGTTTATAGTCCATGATGCCATCGAGCCCTAAGTTTTTTTTCTCATTTTGTTGGGTTTTTACATTATTTATTAATATAGTGTAAAGTGAATAGAGCTTGCTGTAAAGCGGGGTTATGAGCTATACAAATGTTATTCTTTACAATTATTATTATTAATAATTATTATTTAATGCTTTTTCGATGACAGGTATCGCAAAACAGATTAGCATTATCAATGCACCCCTAATTCTCTTTTTTTTTCCTTTTGGTCTTTCAAAATATACTAACAACCTACTTTTGCGTCAATTATTTTCAGTCAGTCTACCTCTTCCTCTCGTTCACTCACTGTTCTTACTCCTCTCTCCCACCCCCCCCTCTCTGTCTCTCTCTCTTTCTTTCTCTCTCTCTCTCTCTCTCTCTCTCTCTCTCTCTCTCTCTCTCTCTCAAACATACATACAAACACACATATACATACACACACGCGTATTCTCATACACTTACACACACACACACACACAACACACACACACACACACAAAGAAACAAACAAGCATACACACAAATCGACTCCTAAGTGAATCTCAGAGTCTGCCATACGCTATTTATCTTTTTAAAATGTGAGTATGATGGT